CTACCATCGATATGACATAAATATCCTATTTCTTGAGCTGTAAAATAGCCCATACAAAAATACCATTACCACTAAACTTGATTGTACCCTTAACATGATTATCTTTTAAACTTTTTCCACTTCGCTTCCAATAATATTGACGACCATTTGATCTAATTATATTAAATTTACTCTCATCAGACTATATTATTTTTTTCCAATCTTCAAAACTCCAATGTTTATATTTTTTTGTGAATTTATATTGAGCTTTTTTATGACGTTGTAATAATAAAGGTTTTTTAATTTTTGTAGCTGATTTTAAGCCATTCTTCTTAAACACTCGACGAACAGTTTCTGAAGAAACTTTAATATCGTAATTAATGCTAAGCTTTTTTTGAACTTGTGTCGCAGTTAAACATTTGCTACTTTTAAGATATCATATTACTTGACGTTTTCTGCATTCTTTTATTAACTGAGGTCATCCCGTTTTAGGTAAGTCTATTACTTCATTTGTTTTTTTATATTTCTCATAAAGTCTAATAATTGTACTAACAGAAACTTTATATTCTCTTGCAAGATCACTTGGTAAATATAAATTTTTATCAAGTAATGTACAAATTCGAATCCTTTGATTTTCTTGTAATCGAACCATTTTTACAAATTTATTAAAAAAATAATACAGAGGGTGGACAAAAGTATTCGCACACTTTTTCACTCAATATAAAACTTAAAATATTTTTGCAATAACAATAAAAAGTCAATTAATTTTTTATTTAAAGCCGATTAATATCTACATTTTGTACTAAGTAACTAGTACTTAGTTAGGCCACCATTTGCTGTAATCACCGCTTGAATTCGTTGTGATATACTATCGACTAGGTTTTCGATAGTATGCTTTGAAATTTCCTGTCATGCCTTTTTAACATATCAGTCAAGATCAGCAAGATTAGATAGAGGTTTTTTATAAGCACGGATGCTTTTCTTGACTTCAGCCTAAAGATTCTCAATTGGATTAAGATCAGACTTTAAGCTGGTCAAGATAATGTACGAAGATAGTTCTTCGCTTGAAAAATCATTGCAGTTAATTCTTGGTTTTCACCATTTTTTTTAGATTTTCAGAGAAGAAAAATTTATTAAAAAAAAACAAATTTGTTATTCTTTTATTTTTATAATATAAGTAAACACTTAAGTGTCATATAAACGCAATTTGTTATTGTGATCATATGACTTTACTAGCATTAATTCACGTTTATGGAGATGTGCAGATATTTTTGTCCACCTTCTGTATAAAAAAAATTTATGATTTATTATTTAAAAGAAATTATTTATGTTTTATTATTTAAAAAAATGTTTATAATTTATTATTTAAAAAATGAAATAAAAATTTTCTCACATTAAAATCATATGAGTAAGGTTATTTATAAAATATACAAATCATGTGATTATGATTCGTATTATAATTTTGCATTTCTTTTGTAGTTTATAAACTATAAAAGAAGCGCAAAATAGTAGCACAATCATATGATTATGATAATTTTGTATTACTTTTGTGATTTATATTCACAGAAGTAACGCAAATAATAATACGATCATATAATTATGATTGATATTACAATTTTGCATTTCTTTTGTGGTTTATAAACCACAAAAAAACGCAAATAATAATTATATAATTTTAGATTTTTAAAATATAAGTTTTTTAAGCATTAAGCAACTTTCTAATCTGAACTATTACAAAAATGAAATTTAGATATACGATAACCTTACTTAAAATGAATTTGTGTTTCAAATTCATTTTAAGTAAGGTTATTACATATCTAAATTTCATTTTTGTAATAGTTCAGATTAGAAAGTTGCTCAATGCTTAAAATTTTATTATATATAAAATTTTGATATAAATCAGTGAATTATATAAAATTGGTATTATTAACTATAATTTTTTTTTAAATAAAATATTCTTTAGGTTTCAAGGATTAAAATAATCAATATTTTAGCATTTGTAATTGATAAGATATAAGCATTTAAAGTTAAAAAACTTTGTTTTGTGTTTCTTTTGTAAGCCACTGTATATTATATTAATATTATAAAATCGCTTACCTTATAATAAAAAGAAGATAAAAAAATTATTGCTATTTTATATTTAATGGCTAGAATATGTAATAAACAAGTAAATAATTTTAAATTAGAACTTATTTTATATTTTGCAGAATCTAAAGTAAGTTGTGATACAATTATATATTAAGTAATATTAAAATATCAGTTACCTATCAAATAGTAACTAGATAAAAAATTATTTTAATAAAAATAAAATTATTTTTGCATATACAATTTAGATGATTATTATAATATCTATGAAAATTGATATTTAGATAATATATCTCTTTCAAACGTAGTTTATCTAATGATATATATATGTAAAAAGATTGAAAAATCAAAATCTGTATTAATTATATTTAATAATAAATCTGTTCATAATTCTAATAATATTGATGTTTCTATTATTTATTAATCAATAATAGTATTACTTCAATTTATTATATTCATAATAGATAATTCAATGGAATATTTAATCTTTCTCTAACTTTGATAGGATTGATCAACTTTTAATCCATTTTTATGATAATGCTATTGAGAAAAGAAAAAAAAACGTAAAATAAAAAAGCAATTTTAATAGAAGTAAAGGAACAAAACTATATTCTATGTAAGATTACCTAAATAGATTTAATATTATATTAGATTATAATAAAGAAATAGGTCATAATATAATATTAATCATCAGACTGGCTAAGATAACATTATATTTATCAAGCACTTAATCATTTTCATAAAAAATAAGACTTCAATATCAAAAGAAATAGTAACTTTTTTTCTTTACTTAGGCTTTTATATGTTATACTTAATATAAAAAAGCAGGTAATAAAATTTATGACCTATTTTTTGAAAAGTTCTTTCATTTATATTTGAAAAATGAAAATTTTAGTCAAAAAACCTAGACTATAGAGAACAAATCTTCTGCTTGAGTTAGTATTTACTGCATGGATTGAAATTAAAGAGCATATTGTAAAAAATTTATATTTTTACAAAAAATATTGAGTATCAAATTATTATAGAACTGTTAGACAATATCATATTAGCTTCCCTCGATATATATGCTTTATTATTTCAATCTGGATTATTTGATAATTATGTAGAAACAATTTATTGTATATGGATCTTTGCTTTGCGATTGCATCACAAAAATTACAACAAAGCTCTATTAGCATTTTTATCAGATTTGTTTTATTGGAAAAAAATTGGATATTCTATAAGAGAAGCAATTAAAGAAAATTTATTTCAGTTTAATGATTACTGGATAGAAAATATGCATAGTAGGAGCTACAACATCTTTAAAAGATGCTGCTAATAATATACAAAAACAGGTTTAATTTTTTAGATTTCAAAATATTTCACGTTCCGTGAGATGTTTTCAATTATAAAAGGTATCCATATTCACCACAAGACCTGAAATTTTTGACTACTAAACCTGTATTTTTCTTATTTTACAATTCAATCACAAGAAATTTATAAAAAAAATGAAGAAACTATTTTAATTAGTAATCAAATTTCATCTTCACTAAAACGACGAAAAAAAAAACTTACCTATTTTGTATGTTCTTCCTACTCTGGGTAAAATAAATATAACAAGTATCCCTTATTAAATAACATTAACTATAAATGATCATACAATTATTCTAATATGTGGACACGGATTTCACCTAGAATGCTATAATTGGATGGAAAAAAAGTGTATACATTGTTTAAATTACTACAAAAACGGCATATGGAAAAATGTTAAACACTACTATCATAATCACTATGCAAAGCAGTAATGCATTTTTAACAGGTTTAAATTCAGAAAAAAATTTTTATGAGAATTTGGATGATAATGAACAAAGTAATGAGATAATGTTAATGTAGAAGTGATACAGTTAAATGAACAGGAATTCTTAGAATTAGATTTGCTTAACAGAATTAGCGAAATTGATAATTGGTGAATAAAAAAATAAATACAACGAATCTTATATGCAAACTTCAAGAATTATGCTTTTAAGTGTTCGATTGAAGTATGACGCTGATAGGTCAATCTAATTTGTTTTCAACCAAGTATAACATGAAAGGCCAAATATACGTTCAGCTTTAGTTTCAAATAGTATAAGTAGAATTTAGTTGAATATAAAAATTCCTATTTTTGAAAAATAACGGTATAACAAAACTGTTTATTGAATCTGATTATACCAGATTAACTTTAAAGGTAAATAAACAAACGAACTGTCAAGATGATTGTAAAGTTTCGTACATACTTCGCATATTTACAAAAATGGACTTTTTCTTATTTTTTTAAGTATTATAAAAAAAATTTATGACAAATGTTCGACATGGTGATATAAGCAAGTCCGCTATGCTGGACATATGTGGTGTGGGTTTTTCGAAATTACCTGGCATAATGATAACATTTTTTTCAAAAATTTATATAGAGGGCGCGATAAGATACAAAAATAAAAACAATTTTTCGATTAATCTCATGGTTTTGTACTTTGTGAATTAAGTTTAAAGTTTAAAAATTCCCATTTAAAAATTGGACAACTATTGAAAAAAAAATAATTTCTGTAACATAATAAATAATCTGAAAATTGCATGCAAAATTGCATGCAATTTTCTTTTAAGGATAAACCTCTGTAATGAACACTACTAATGTGGTCAGAGTGCACCATAAAATTTATCTTGTTACTAATAAAATTATAACCTTTTCTTACAGACTTTTTATTGCTTACTTATAGTGTTCGGTATATAAAAAAAATTTAATATACCGAGTTCGGATCTGTCTGTGGAGTGCTCATGCTCAAGCTCCATATCAAGAAAACCACGATCAGGTGTTCCAATAATATTCCATTCTCCCCATATCTCGCGTCCGCGATGGTTCACGGAGTACCGGGGGTATTTTTTATCGAAAATAACCAAACCATCAACTAATATATGTCCATTTATTTCAAACCTTTCAACTCCATCTGAGCCAGACCCATCCCGGTAAAGTTCAAATTAATTAACATTCGATCACTTTCGTCATTAATTATGTAAAAGTAATATCCACGCCAATCCCCTGTTAGTGACTTTTCAACTTCAGCAACCCGTTTAATAATAAAATTTCCAAGATTCGGTTGTTCATTAGTGCCCTATTTTCCAAAAAAAAGTTCCTGATTGTATTGACCTCGATAGATCCAGGATAAATCATTGCGGTTTGTGTAGATCTTAGTAAAAGTAATAGTTCTCGATGATGGAACAAACAAGCCATTGATTTCGTAGGGGCCTATGCTGTCCTCCCTTTACCAATGACAGAGAAAGACAAATTTCCAGGGTCATTAGCTGAGAATGTTAATTGTGCTGTTGAAAAACTTGGCTCTAATGATTCTTGTGTGTATAATATGTTGTATTGGCCTTTCAATTGAGAACTGGAAGAACCTTGATTAAAAATAAAAAGGATCCGTTTCAATATTAAAATATAATTCAATAATAAATTATTCATGGTTTTATCTCACCATCCGATTGATTAAGCCGGGTTTTTTGACCCGACTCGAATTTTTTCTCGAGTCGGGACTATCATTTTTATGACACGAGTCCTAATTCAAAAAAACCGCCGGGTCAGGGTCTCGTTTTTGCTTGACCCGAGTCGACCCGGGTCGACCCTGGTGACCTGGATGATCTGATTTAAACAATATCAATATAAATTGACGCGCTAAACTTTTTTTTTACGCGATTTTAATTTGTAACAAATAAATAATAAGTAGGCCTATCGACGTTACCGATAGTATAACTTCTTCTAGAAAACGAAAAACGTTGCGGAGTGAACAATTACAGGTAAAAAAAATTATCATTTATCAAACATTAACTAATACATTTTTTTTATAAAGCAACAGGTGTTTTAGTAGAACAAGTTTATTCTGGCGGAACCGATCTGATATCGACCAAAAGAAGTGATCTTAAAGCTAATAAAAAAAAAAAAAATAATAATTAATTTTAAAAATAAAAATAAACATTATATAACACTTTTTTATTTACGGCATTAATATAAAATATTTATAAATATAAAAAAAATTCTGAAAAGCTTCTCACCGTTTTGCTTAACCTAATATGCAAAAGTTTATTGTTTACTACTTTTTTGGAATTTAACCAACAAATTCAATTACAGCTTTTTTTGAAATGCCTTTCTTTTTCTTTAGATTCCTCTTCGAAATCGGATGGTTTCTGTTAGAATAAATGCTTTCATTGTTTTATTTTTATTTTGTTACTCCTACTCCAATATTTTTTTAATTACACTGTATATAAAAGAAAATTTTTGAAATATTTAAAAAATAAAATATGTAAATTACTTTGAATTATCTTAAAGAAGAAAAAAAATAATTCTTTATTTATCTTGTTTATAAAAAAATATTAAAAATAAATAAATTTAAAAAGTAATAAAATAAATGTAATGATTTGTGGTAAGTATTTAAATTTTTTTTTCTATATATTAAACCACAGTCCATTAAGCTAGCATAAAGCAACTCCTGAGATTTCGAGTCGAGTCCGGGTTAAACAATAATCGGGTCGAGTCGAATCCGAGTCGAACAATGATTGGGAGTCGAATTCGGGTTCTGAAATTATGAACGGGTTCGAGTTCGAGTATTCCTTAAACCTGACCTGACCTGACCCTTACGGAAGACTACGCCTCAATAATTTTCCAAAAGCCTCGGCAAAATCATCGAAAAATTTTTTTTGATTTTTAGCATATTCTTCGGCTATCTTATGAAAGTCTGGATCGCGAAATAATGCGAGGTCAGAAGCAAGCATAATCATATCAGGTGGTCCTTGGGGAAAAGCGTTTTGTTTTTCGTTTAAAGTTTGGCTTGCCAACTTTTCACTTGTATTCTTCAGATTTACATAACTTTATTAAAATATTTAATTGATAAAATATTTAATTGATAGGTATTAATATAACGATTTGAAGGTTGAAAACTTTATTGAAAAATGCTTACAATTGATTGGTAAATCGATTATTTGATTCAGTCCATTTGCCACCAGCAGAACGACCGACAGTATGGGCTCCTATGAAAGCTACTATATCACTTTTCAAACAGATTGGACGTGAGAAAACTCATATATTATTATGATAATTCGTACATAACAAACTCACCGGTCAGTAAATCCTAATGGTTTAAATTCTTTACGAATGACATCCGGATTAAGGCTGATTCCGGGAATATCTTCTTCACTTATAGTACCATCCTTACGACCAAATTTCCATGGGATTTTCGGACCACCCAAAACTTCAACGGCAATCACACCAGCAAGAGACCACAAGTCACATTCTGATTAGTATTTAAGGATTCATGTCAGAATAAGCGAAATTAAAAAAACTAACAAACTTCTGATAACAAAACACCTACTAGAAACCTCTTTATGATTTTTCTCTACACTACTCAACAATTTTGTCGCATCTTTTAGACGTATATTTCTCGGGTTATCAAAGTTCAGGGCAATGGTCTTCAAACTCCGATCAAAACTTGCTAAGGTATGAAAAGCTAGGCGTATAAAAAGTGGACCGGTCTTGTCATCTATTTTCTTTCGTATTTCTGTTCTTATTGCACTTTCTTCAGATATAGATATTTTAGACATTTTATTAAATCGATTGATCTTAATTTTTTCGGGATGTTTTCCATCATAATTTATAATAATTGGGAGTTGAGCGTAATCTCTTAGACCATCATTCTAAGTATCATTTTTGGTAATTAACAAATGAGAAATGAATTTCTTATAAAGAAAACATGGCGCATCATGCAAAAACAAACTTGCGTAATAGACAAATCCACAAATTTTTTCGACGAATTTTTTTTTCACGCAAGTGATAATTTACTTATTTATCTTTTCCAATTTTTTCATCATTCTAAGTACCATTTTTGGTAATTAACAAATAAGAAATGAATTTCTTATAAAGAAACATGGCGCATCATGCAAAAACAAACTTGTGTAATAGACCAAGCCACAAATTTTTTCGATGAATTTTTTCACGCAAGTGATAACTTACTTATTTATCTTTTCCAATTTTTTCATGAGAAGTAAATTTCTTAGACCAATCCACAAATTTTCGACGAATTTTTTTCACGCACGTGATAATTTGATAGTGATTAACTTTCCCAGCTGCACCAACAAAAAATCACCGGCACGTGATTTGGCCGGCATTACGACATTAGGTGTGACGTTATGAAATTAATCTGACAATTAAGCATGACAAACAGAAAATGGGAAATGCAGAAGGTGTAACGCGGGTGACAAATATTTCATAAGTCACGTGCCGGTGAATTTTGTTAGTGCAGCTGGGAAAAATATAGTGATTAATCTTCCCATTACTATATCAGTAGCTGGTATTTCGAATTTATCTTTTCAATTTTTTGATTTTTATGCTAAAAACAAAAATCAATAGATAGTAGAGTTGCTTTCTGATTTTAAATGGTGGGTTGCAAGTAAATTTTGAATTTAAAAGGGATGAATTGTTATTTGAATATAGATTTAAATCAATTACAAATGTGATTTTGTCATTTTCAATAATTCATTCTTTTTATAAGATTTTAGTTATACTACTATTTATAAATGACTAATAATAATTATATTATAAATAAATATTTAAAAATAAGCTAGATATAAAAATAATAAATAATAATTATAATTATAATTATAAATATATAAAAGATTACTTAAGCTAATTTTCATTGCAACACAATAAAAATAGCTAGTATTAATTTTGATATATTGTTATTTTATAGGTAAATATAATGCATTTATTTTGTTGATATTATTATATTCAGAAATAATCATTATAATATTGTATTTTTAGTCTAATCATTAATTATTTTAAAGTTTTGTAATACCTAATCGTTATCATACTCACTATTCTAAATATAAAATATTAATTAGACTTAAAATAATCAGACTTAGATAATAAAATTTAGTTTTTATTTCAAAATAACTTAAATAGCAATATTAATTTAAGTCAATTTAAGTATTTTGATTAATATTATATATTTTGTATATTTAAAAATCTGATTATAAAACTTTTCTAATCTAATATTATTTCTTTTATTATATTATTTAGGAGTATACACATATATTTTTAATTATGAATTAATATATTTTTTAATTCTATCTCTTATATGCTATAATCATATTTATTCTAAAATCAAATTATATTTAGGCTTATTAATGACTAAAAACTTCTTAGATAATTTTTTTTAATATTGAGATAAAATATTATTTTATGATTTTAAGTTAAAGATATTCAAAATAAAAATGGAAATTTTTTATTATAAAGCTAGCCTCTTACTATTACTTTTTTATTAGCATTAGTTATTTCAATACTAAGACTTTTTATTATAAGATATTTAATTTAAACTTTCTAGAAATATATAAACCAATTTTTTTAACAAGTACTTACTGATATTATTTAAGTAAAGTTTAGGATCACTTAGTATTTTAATAGTTATTTTAGTTTTTTATATTAATAAATATATAATTTACTAATAATATTTTGTGAATTTCTTGAATTATTTATCTTTCTATACTGTATATCATTTATACTACAATATTTTTAGGATTCTGTATTAATAAATTTTTAAAATAAATAGTATAAATTTAGATGTAAGTTAATTAAGTAAATTATCTATATATATTTTATATAATTTGAAAATTTTTCAATTAGAAAAATTAATTAATTTTATTTATACTATTTTTTGATATTTAATTATATTTATTATTTTATTAATATCAAAATCAGATACTTCTAATTTTAATTCAACTATTACTTCAGATACTTATTTTTTTCAAGCAAAAATTTTAACTATTTATATGATCTTTTATCTATTAAGATCATATTATCTATTAAGTCATTATAAAAGTTATGTAATTTATCTATATTATCTCCTAATTAATTTAAATTTTTTTCTAGTTGATTAATTCTTTTTTTAAGCTTTTTATATTAAAAATGATAATCTTTCAATTTTTTCTCTTATACTTTAATTATCTAAAAAGTTTTATTTATTTAATAACTTTTTGCTTATTAAGTGTATTATTAGATAAATACTTTTAATCAGATATTATTTTCATAATATTTTATATATGATATATCTTACTTTAAATAAAAAATAATTTTAATAATTGATAGTTAACTTATATATAGTGTATGATTAATTTTATTAAATGCAGAATAATTTTACCTAATTATATAGTTCTCACTTTTCTATATATTGATTATAGTATATCTTTTAGATAGAAAAACATAATTGTTAAAATTATGCTTTAATACATCATTGATAATAATGTTAGTTTCTGATATATTCTTTATACTATATATTATAACAATAAATACTATTATTAATTTGTACAAATAACTAAAAATTAATAGTTTATTAAGTTTAGAAGTATCTGATTTTGATATTAATAAAATAATAAATATAATTAAATA